CATGTTCTCACTTATTGGTGGGAGCTAAAAATAAATAAATTCACACACACACACACACACAAAAAAAAAAAACCGGGTGGGGGGAAGAAGACATAACAACTACAGTTCCTTGAAGTTGATACGACAAGCAAACAGAAAGGACATTGTTGGGTGGGAGGGTGGAGAGGGAGGAGGGAGGGAGGTTTCGGTAATGGGCCACAATAATCAACCACATTGTATATCGAGAAAATAAAATTTAAAAAAATAAAAATAAAACAAAAATAATAATAATAATTGCCATCTTCCTGACTAAACATTATTTAACATCCTGTATTGCCACAGACGGAATGGCTTTGAGCTCCCTTCATTTGACCCAGTAGTTACTGGTGTTCTGTGCTCGGGCCAGGTCATCTTGCATTCCTGCCCAAAGCTGAGAGTTAAAAGGGACAGCCTGCCATGGACTGTTCTTAATAGTTTTTTTAGACATCTAGGCCAGAGCACACAAAAAGGCTGCTTCAGGGCCTCGTGGGCCTTGGTATTTGGGATAGGTTTTACATATTTGCATTCACAGAGCAGCTTGAGCTGCTGATCTAAAGGGAAAACAACTGACAGCAATTGCACATGATGTTGATGCCATCAAGCAGCAGCCTCGATAAAGCCGGAGAGGCCATGCTCAGAGTACCTTCATGTCTTCTCTGACCTTCCTGGCCTCAAAATGCGGCATTCTACACTTTGAATAAATCTGCTGGGGTTTTTTTAAAGATGAGTTTTCCTTACGGTGTTTGGATTTGAAACTAAAGACCTTAAAAGTCTAGGTATCTCAAGTCTAGTCTGAAGTTCAAAAGCTTTGTCTTGAAATAGCTTACAATGATGTTCTTCCTTAAGTTTTTCCTAAATGCTTCTTGTCCTCAGGAGTTGTGTAAGTCATTATAAATCTAAAACATTCTTTTTCTAAGGCACTGGTTCTCAAACCTAGTCCTGGTCTCAGGACCCCTTTACATTCGTAAAAGTTATTGAAGAACTTTTGTTTCTGTGGGTTATATATATTAGGGATTACAACCAATATTTTATTTACTTATTAATTCATTTTAAAATAACAATAATAAACCCATTTGGTATTAGTATTCTTTTATGAAAAGTCATCAGATTTTCCAAAAAGAAATTTTGTGTAAAGTGACACTTTTACCTTTTCACAGATCTCTTAATATCTGCCTGGACAGAAGACAGATGTATTCTCAACACATACAATAGAATACAGCTGTTTCTGTGTTCACTCTGTTGTGACATCACAAGTCATATAGCCTCTGGAAGACTCCACTGTACACTCATCAGAGAATCCTAGTGAAAAAGACAAATAACTTCTTACCATTATGATGAAAATAGTTTTGACTCCCAAGGGCCTTGGCAACCTCCAAACCACACTTGCAGAACTGCTCCCTTGCCAAATAGCAAGCTTTTCAAGTTTTGTGTGCAGCTTTACTTGATCCTAAACTTTTACCCTTCAAAGCAGGACCATGTTCATTGCCCTTTACTCCTTCCTGCATCCTCACCCTTCCATCTAAGCTCATTTTCCTTCTGCCTGAATTATGAACGTTTGTATTTCTTTTACTATGTATTTACTGATGGGTATTCCCTCATTCTTAGTTTGTTCAAAACTGTCTTTATTTCACCTTCTCTACAGAACGCAATTACTTTTAAGATTTTCTCTTTGTCTTTAGTTTGCTATGGTTTTATTATGAGGTTTCACTTATCTTCTTGGTTTCTGTAGGGCTTTTTGAATCTTTGGCTTTTTTTCCCCCATCACTTTTGGAAAATTCTCAGCCAGCCATTATCTCTTCAAATACTTCTGCGCCACCTCTCATTCCTCTAATCACACATATGATGGACGTTCCTGCTGTTTATTATCTCTGCTCTTTTGTCTCTCTATGCTTCTGAATGGTTTCTCCTAACCTACCTTCCAATTTCTCAACTGTCTAATCTTCTGCAAAAGAAGATCCAACTTCTATTTGGCTCTTTTTAAACCAGCTAAGTGGCTTTTTTTTTTAACATTTCCAGTTCCCTGCTGAATTTTTCTATGTCTTTTTTTACTTCCCTAAACAGAGTAAGCACGGTCCGGTAAGGGGATCGCAACCCTTGGCTCGGTGTTGTCAGCACTACCCTCAGCCAGTGAGCGCACCGGCCATTCCTATATAGGATCCGAACCCGCAGCGGGAGTGTTGCTGCGCTCCCAGCACCGCACTCTCCCGAGTGCGCCAGGGGGCCGGCCCCCCTAAGCATTATTTTTAAAAATGGTGTCACGTCCAGTGTCTGCAGCCCCTATGGAAGTTTTACATCGTGTGCTGAGAATATGCCCAGATTAGACACATAAAAATACGCAGAAAAAAAAGGCTGACGGTACAATGGGGAATGGCGGGAAACGTCCCTGAGGTGGGAGGCTTTCCTTCTCAGCCTTTAACATATCAAGTAAAGAGGCTCCACTTTTTTAGGCAACAACCGGTCCGGGTTGTCCAGAACTTTCCCTGTTTCAGCGTTGAAAGTCTTGCTTCCCGAAAAAGCCATCAGTCTTGGGAAAGTCTGGAAGGTCAGTCACTCTGTGAGCATCACGACGCACCCCGACGCCCGTGCACCCCACCCCACCGCCCCCAGCCCGGCCCTGCCCGGCCCTACCCGGCCCTACCCGGCCCTACCCG